GCTATAATTTTAATAAGTGATGATCAGACTTTAGTTAATTTAATTTATATATAAGAGGGGTTTTATCCATCTACTTCATGGGCTTAATTAATTTTGGCAACTATAGGCTTATTTATTTCCATGTGCTTTATAAATTCCGTGCTATGAAAGAGTTATTTATTATATATGGAAACATAGGCCGTTAAGAAAGAATTAATTGCAATAGTTTTTCTTATTATTATTGTTTTTTGGATTCCAAGGAGCAACACAATATATATTTTGGTCAGGGGTTGTTTTAAAGGAAGGATTTCATTCAATAATTATTTCTTACTCTATCATATGTGACACATTAGCATTATTTTTTAGAATTATTATTTTATTATTTTTTATATTTTGGGCTTTATTTAAGATACTTTAAGCTTTATTTTAATTCAAAACAATCATTATGCCTTTATTAGCTCATTAATCACACATATTTATGTTATCAAGGATTAGACCAATTCTAACTCACTAAGAGCCCATATTCAATCCAAACACTACTTTAGTCATTTAGCTTCACTAATGTTAGTCATTCATTTTAACTAATATATGGTGTGGACATTTATTCAATTTATCCTACATAGGATTCTATATTCTCAATTTTCCCAAAACCCATTCACTTTAACTTAACACTACACATAATAATAATAATTCTCAGGGATCACAATCATACATAATATACAATTCATACAATAACATATAATTCAACACAATTTATAAGGCAGCCCATTGTTATCGCCAACAAATTTAATAAAGGAAGGAGGAGGTTTTTTTTTTTTTTAAATACAACAATGCCACTAATTTTATACAATATTTTTATCAAAACTCTAATTACTATTTTTTTATATAAATTTTTATCTATTTTTTCCTGAGATTTTAACTAACTTACTAGGGAATTATATCTGTTGTCATAAAAATCTTTCCCTAAATAATTGTTTTTTAGTTAAAAAAATTTTTATATGTACAATTTTTAAGCTCAAATTCAAAATCATTAGACTTTCAAACAAAATATGTTGTTTTCTGTTCACTAAACATGTGGTAAGGTCCACTGGGCTTGACGCACGTCGAATCAATCAGTCAAATCAATCGACATAGATTGCAACAGAAGCTGTCTTCGGTCGTGGAGTTTCTGGCTGGGTCAGTTGATATATATAGTTTTGGGCGGTTGAGGGTGGTAGCCCATGAAGTCCCCAGGAGAACGATGGATGTGACCCATTCTTGATCGAAGGGAGGCGAATAAACTCACTAGACTAGACCAGGCCCCAGATTGTAACCCTCTTTTAACTCCCACACCATTGATTCCTCTCCCCTTTTGTCTCCTCCGCTGCTCGTGCGCGTGCCTTGTTATGTCTTCAATTTCATCAAAAGGAGGCATGCTCATACTAGGAGTCACCCTATTCTTTTCATGTTATCGACCGACCTACCTATGCCCCCCTTTTCACTCATGGAAAATGGTTGATGGTGTGACTCTTTCTCTCTCAGAAATTATATGTTTATATTTTACTCCAGATTCTACATGTTAATGCTTTTTCAGTACAAAAAAGCATTGTGATAACACATTGAAAAGGACACGCCAACCCCCACTTAATCACAAAACTGCTCAAGGAAAAGCAATTGTAATTAGCTTTGGAAATAAAGAAACTAATTAACACAACGCAACTCATCTCTCTGGACATCTCTCTGAATGCATGGCACTTGACCGGTGGTGGAAACCAGGCGTTTTCGGTATCGTGTCATCATGAAACTGTAAGCTTCCTGGGGTTTAGATGAGAGGCACAAAACGACATCTACAATATGATTTTCTTCCTTTTTGGGAATATATATATATATATATATATGAAGTGATCATGAATCAAAGGAAATTAAGCTTCAATTATATGGGATATAAGATAAGCAAGGAAACGAAGTCCTTGCATGGTTAACCTCTCCCATTCCCAATTACACAACAAAGATTTGGACACCTTTTAATTAATTTCTCACCTATCCCCTCCAATTTGATCGTCTAGCGCATTTACTATAGGAAAGTGGACTTAATATTTCCCTTCACCTAAATGGGATGCCCGATGAATTGAAGAAGTGGAGCAGTCTGGCTCATCATCATTGGCAAAAGTGTAACCAGCAGACTAGAAGGGGATAAAAAATCATCATGGAAATTAGAGGAGCTATGCTATTGTACAGCATGTCCTGCAGAGGAGTTGCCACTGCGTTTTGTGGAACGATCATGGAGGTCATTACAGGGATGATAATTAAGTACTGTGAAAGATACATTTAATGTTAAAAATCCAACCAAGATCCTCATGCAATTTTTTCTTCTGTGGATGCACGTACCCTCACATGGGAAAACAATCCTTCTTGTGCTTTCTATTAGACTAGGCACCTGTACGACATACTGTTACAGAAAATGACATTACATATTTGCTATAGTAGGAGCAAGATGACATGAAAAATCACAAGCAACCACTATATATATATATATACATGGGGCTAAAATTTAAAAGAGATTTCAGATACACAAAGAGAAGTCAACAAATTTACAGTGTCAACTTTTTACGATATCTGTCTTTGGCTTGAAAAGAAAAGCTGAATTTAGTCAAGTTGGTGCAAAGCTTGAAGATTGATGTAGAAAAAAGCCTTAAAAGAAGCACATGTCAATTTTCATTTTTCACTTGTTCACACTTAGGAATTAGGCCGGCTAAAGAAGGGAAACACCTCCTGGTCGTTTAATTATGGTTAATCGGTGCTGACATTTTTCCACAGCTTGCAATATTCAATCACAAATCAACTCCTAGCCTTTAATTTCTTCATTTCAGCACCAAGATTATTTGGACAAGGCAATGTTACCCTTCCGTCAGGATTCCATCTTGATTCAACAATAAAATGGGGAGGGGAAGCCATAAGAAGACGTCAAAAAGAGCTTGTTTTCTTTGAGAGTGGTTTTTATTTTTTATTTTTTATTATAATTCTTAAATGTGGATCTTGAAATTTAAGGTGGGGTATTTTGTCTTCTTCTTGATTTTTGGAGATGAGAAGATGATCATACATATTTGGATTTTTCTAATATGTCCTCTAAGGGCACATGTTCGTTGCTATAAATAGAATGATTTAATTTTTATGCTCAGCTATATTGAATTATGGACGAGGATACAAATAAACCCATTAATCATTCAAGGAAAACTTTCCAGTTATATCAATTAAACATGTGCCTTTAATTGTTTTACTGTGGGAAAAAATATCATTTCTGGCTGTTGTTATCAGCCAAGAGTTGAAGTCAAGAGTTAGCACATGAGCCTAGCTTTGATTTTAATGTTAGCCTCGAGCATCTCCTCTTGAATTAATGCAGTATATTTCCCTTGTAAATTAAGGCTGCTTGGAACTGGAGCAAGTTTCGCAGAAGCAAAATAGAAGGCTATCATTAATCTTCCAAGAAATTATGTAGTCAACAAAACATGAAGATGGCGCATTAACTTAGTTAAGAGGCTCAAGAAGTGGGCACCCAGTTAATAGTTATACCGTGTGATGTCCTTCTCTCTTGAGATGCAAATGATTGTCTGTTAAAAAAATATGGATTATCAGAAAACTAAGAAATTTTATAAGCAGTGGGTGGTTTGTGAACGTTCAGCTAGCTTTCGTGGTTATATAAACTATACATGTTAGGTTGGTACTCACCAAAGTGAACTCTAAATATATGATCTTATGGCAGGAATATTATTTTATACTCCCATGAAAGAATATACGAGAAACATATACATGAGGTTGCAATAATTGGTAGACCAGAGCAAGCAAATTCTTAATATCTAGCGCACACAATGTTTTACATTAATTTCACATTTTCAATTCTTATCTTTCCCATCACATTCCCTTATGTTTACTCATTAATGCATGAGTCTTTGAAGCACTTGTAGCTATATATTATTTTTTAATCAATAATACAAGGATGAATGAAACATACTAAATATTTTTTAACAAATAAAAAAGTATTTATTGTTAGATAGAACTTTAAAAATTCTTAATTTATATGGATATTTTTACAAACAAGAAAGACAGACTGTACTATAAATCTACTATGTATTTATGCTTTAATATTAAAGTTTTTTAAACAAGTTTATAACATTATGATTTCTCTAATCATATAATTTGTCTAAGACAAATCTAATAAGGAATTAGCCTTCAAGATTATATAAAAAGGTCTTACTTTGAATTGTTTGATTCATTTGATTTAGTTTATATAAAATCTATAAATTTTTTATTGATCTATTTTTGGATATTTATGGTGAGTAAAAAACAATGTTTGAAACTTATAAAAATACAAAAATATCTAAAAAAACATAATAATAAATAAAAATAATGTATTATTCACCAAGATAAAAAAATCAAATAAGTTAAAACATTATAGATAGTCATGCATTTGGATAGAGTATTGGAACTATGTTAACCAACAAATAAGCATAGTTATAAAGATATAATTGTTTTCAATGTTTGTTCTTAGATACAGAGGTTTTACCTATCACTAATTTTTTTCTTTGCATCTTGCCTGTAGAATTTTATTATAAAAAATAAGTACATTATATTTTTATCGATGAAATTGCTTATTATTGTTTGTATAGAATTTTAATATAAAAAATAAGTATATTATATTTTTATTGATGAAATTGCTTATTATTGTTTGTACGTTTGAACCATGTATGGAAAAAAAAATTACTTACAAATTTAAATCTTACAATCTATTTTTACAATATAAGTTTATATTGTAATTTTTATGTTGTATCAAAAAAATATTAAAATATTTTAACAATCTTATGTAGGGTTACATAGATAGCATTCCTGTTTTAAATATCATCTCACTCCTTTCCTTTAATTAGTGTTTGAACTTGAGATCTCTGTATAAAACTCTGAAAGTTTTAACCGTTGGGTTGGGTTTGGTGTCTCTTTTAAAGCACAATGACCTTATTCCAGAGCTTTACTCGAGAAAATGATCTAAAAGTAAAGTACAGTCTCACATGTTATATATATATATAGAAAGATCTCTCTACAAGGTAACAAATCATACTTCACCATGATAATGCAGGATTCATGTGCATAAGAAACCCTAAATAGGTATTCTCCATGCTAATAATATAGCACATATAATCCCGATTTTATACAGGCTTGGAAAGCTTAAACGCTACCATCTCCTCTCTCACCACAAGTGTCATGATTCCATGGAGAAGGATAATATATACCAGAATTTTGATCATAAGAAACCCCTCCATGACCCATTCTTCTTCCAAATTGGGGGTTTGGTGCTGGCATTTCATTGCAGGCATATCGGATCAAATCAGCATTTGTAGCATCTAATTCCTTTTGGAGTCTAATAACTTGCCTCTGGAGGACTGAAATAGCACCAACACAGCCATAGACTGGATCTTTCATCCGTGCCTCAGCTTCGTAGGCAAGAGAGTTGACAGCATCTTCTCTCTGATGAGGAAGGACCTCATTGAGGAGCTTACTGACATTGCTTGCACCAAATATCTTGTGAACATTGGCAAACTTCTGAGGCTCTTCAGGTGGGAAGTATGGTGCAAAGATGCAATCTGGCATGCATTTTCTGCGTAGGAACTTGCAAGCAGCACAAGGAGAATTGGAATAGCTTGAAGAAGCCATCTATTATACTGCAAAAAATTAATTGAACAACTTAATCCATCAAACATGTTCTTGTCGATGCATAACCTCCAAAGATTTGGAATTTACAATATGAAAAACTTAAAATAGTTATTTTACATTATTTTTTTGATAATCTGAAGACCAAGGGTGATTGATGTGGGCAGAACCTTTGTTATTTATATTATACAGAGACTTGTTTGGAGCACATGCATATGCGTATGACCAGTTTAGCAGCACAAGTATTTTTCATGACAGCAGTTTTCCTCCCTAGTTATGCCTCTCCTTTTCAAACTTTTACTTTTTCGGCCTGAAAAGCAGTCTTTCTTGAATCTGATACTACTATGTGAATATTTCATCTCCAAAATTTACTTAAAAACTCCCTATAGTAAAAAAATAAAATAAAATGAAATTAATAAAAGATACATAAATAGTCAAAACAGAATACATCAGGGTACAGGGATAGTTTCCTGTGCGGGGATTCTTTGAACTTTAGTCAATAGCTCCATGGCTGCAACATGACACAGCCCCCACGCCCACTCCTCCTCATTTTCTCTCTCCAAATTTTAATTCCTACACCTACTGCAATGTAGACAGATCCTTTTTTTAGAAGTTATCATCAGTGGGATCTCTCATACGGTGCAATCTTATAGCCTTCATCATATGTATATATTCTTCCTTAAAGGTGTTGAGGCATTTGTTAACAGATATTCTACCTATTGAATCGAATCACAAGTACATAAACCATTAATCTCTTCTTCTATAACATAACCTTAATTGAGCAGAGTGCTTTAAGATGAAGAATATAAGCAAAAATGAAAAGATCTTGTAGCTGGGCTGCCTGTACTTACCTTTTCTTGACTAGGTTTCTTTTATCAGGTAAAAAGGAATACTACCTTTTTACCCCTCTCGTGTAGACTCTTTCAAGATCCAGAGACTTTGATTTTGCCAATGAAAAAGACTATCCAGTCAGCTGTTGAAAGATGAGAAACTTGGTAAGCTTAATTTATTGACAGATGTGAGAGTTCAAAGGGAAAACCCTAGTTGCAGGACGGTGAGAGAAACCTGCAAATACAGTGACGAAAAGCAAGGAAGATTAAAGAAAAGGGGAGGCAAAGAGCATTTAGTGAAGAGGAACGGAAAGCAAAAGAGAAGTGCAATAAATGGGCAGCAAGAAAAAAGATGACTTTGACACTGCTCTTATAATAATATCAAACACTGTTCAAGAACTTGGCCAATCAATTATCTTAAAAAAAAAAAAAAAAAAACTTTGAACTCCAAATCAAACTAAAAATACATAAATAAAGAATGAATGCATTACAAGGAGAAGATCTGACACAATCACAAGATTCAATAACTCATGATTTAAGGGTCAACTTAGTTTGATCCCAAACACCATTGAAGGCTACCTCATAATGGGCAATCTCATTGCAAAACTGGACTGCTGTTTATGGCCATATTTTGGCTTTATTCTTGTGGCTTATTCGTATATGCAGCCATTCTGGAACTGAACAGTGAGTTTCTTCATAATTGAAAAGGAAAAAAAAAATATCATACTCTTTTCAAAAATTAATTTCAAGATTAAAAAATAAAGAGCAATAATACAGCATCACCAAATTTCTCATTACATGTAAAGGAGATACTTAGGCAAATAAAATAAAAAGGTAAAGATGAGACAAAGGAGATGTCACTATTTTAAAGGCAACAATACTTAAGGTTGCTCTAGTGTAGATTATAAGATAAGTGCTGGTTATATCAAGGAAGTATAAAAATTACCCTCCTCGTAAGTGTCTCATGTAAGAAAAAATATTTCGGTATGTTAAACTTAGATAGTGTTTGGTTACCATTTAAAAAAAAAAAAAAACAAAGATAGCTAGGACATAAGAAACATTTTTATGTTTTGAAAAAATAAAAATTTATTTCCAAATCACCTAAGAAATAAATTTATTTTTACATCGTTATCTATATCTCTTAAACCGTGTCTATTTTTTTTATGATGGAATATTAACTAAATATAACTTGAAGCAACTATTCTGAGAGTCACCTTTATGTTAAGTTATCTAACCTAGTATTTGTGTTTATTTTTTAAGTAAAAAACTAAACAATCTAAGAAATAAAATGATTTTAGATTCATGTCATTCTAATTTATTAATATATAACAAGCTCAATGAACACTACTCATTTAATGGACCTATAAAGGATTGAAATGATTACAAAGAAGAAGAGAGAAATCATATTTTTCAATGTTAATATAATCAATGTGCTTAATAACACTTAAATACATTGAAAACCAAAAATAGAAATGAGGTGTATGCAACTATATAATTCCTTACACTTTGAATGAAGAATAAATAGTAGAATAATATATATAAATATATCAAATGTTAAATATTATTAAATGATGAAAATAAATGAATCACCTTATAAGGGACATAACTAACTAAACTACAACTAGATGGATAACTAGTGAAGCAATTTAAAAGGGTATTGTGGATAGCATCCTTGAACATGGAAATCCAAATGCATAAATCATAAAACATGAGTTAAAATATTAATTAGAATAAAATAAAATAATGTATTATCTATTTATATATTCATAACATAATTTTCAAGGAACATAATTACCAAGCACCAAATGAACAAGGGATAAAATAACTAAAGGGTCATAATATCAAGGAATGTAATAGCCTAAAAGCATTTTATGAATAAATAAATAAATTATACTTTTAAGAATATGATGATGTTAAGATTACATTCAAGTAGAGTCAGTTTCAAATCACATATTAATTTGCTCATTATTTGAACTTGATAAAGATAGGTTCACTATAAAAAAAAATACACATTCAATCAATCATCATCACCCATCATCTTTAGATATTTTTATCTAGTTATATATAAATATAAATCTAAAATACAACTAGAACATACAAAACACTTGTATATAGAAATAAAAATCTTAAGATATGAAAAACAACACAAAATCATTCAAAAAATTTAAAAAAAAAATCCAAAAGAGATATAATCATAGGCAAAACATTGACGAATAAGAACAAACCACAATAAACATACATTTTAAATGTGAAAACTTTAGGGAGTAAAAGTTCAAAAAGAAAATTCTGACATTGAATAGAAAAATACATTCATCCAAATATGAAATAAAAATCAAAATCATATGTAGGACATGTTTTTAAGTTTCAATTCAAGGTTGTAATGGAGAAAGATTTAGGATTAACTAATTTCCATTTAATGAAATCCCATTTAACATCAATGCAATCTAAATAAATAGTTTTGAGTTCATAACTAACACTTAAAAATTGATTTTCATGAATTTTAGAAATAACTTTGCGATAATTGATAATTCTGAATTATAAATCTTTGATTTGAAAATTTTATTTTTATATGAAAAACTAAAGCTAATACAATATCATAAACATGAATTAAAATCTGAATTTAGATAAACCTAATATCAATACCATAACATTGAAAAAAATATATAAGAAAAGGTATGAACTTTTCTTTTAAATTTTATTCTAAATATGTATGTTTTTACTTGTTCTTTATTTTTTTGACATATTATCAACATGATCACTCTACTTAATTTATATTGAAATCTTGGCACACATGAACTTCTATGTTACATGGCTTATATCAATATCAATATTTTTTTTCTCTTTTCATTAATATTGTTCATACCTTATGAAATATATTTGGCTCTGTAACCTATTTGACAAATTTTCATTTCTTTTTATTCATCAAGATTTAAAATTCCTAAAAAATTAGTATTGTAAGTTTCAAAAGAATTAAATAAATTAAATACAATTCTTGAAGAACTAATAATTTTAAAGAACTGAATAGCAGTCTTAAAAGATTAATTTTTTTTTATATTCATGATTTTTTAATAAGTTATTTTCTTTTTTTATAGATAATGTCAAATATGACAAAACTTGAATTTACTGCTCTTGAAATATCTAGGAATACATTTTTTTCATAGATCCTTGGCGTTGAGATTTATCTAGAAGCTATGAATCTTGGAGAGACCATCAAAGAAGAAAATAGCACATCTTTACAGGATTGCACAAAAGCAATGATTTTTATTCACGACCATCTCCATGAAGGATTAAAAGTTGAATATCTCACAATAAAAGACTCTCTTGTTCAGTGAAAAAATCTAAAGGAAAGATATGACCACCAAAAGTTTACTATACTCCTTTAAACTCGTTATAATTGGTTGTACCTGAGGTTATAAGATTTTAATTCAATTAGTGAATATAATTATGCTATTTTTTTAAAATTATCTCATAGCCAAAATTTTATAGTGAAAATATTATAGAAGATCAAATGTTAAAGAAAACATTCTCTAATATTGTCCTGTAGCAGTAATACAGAGAACGTAATTTCAAAAGGTACTCAGAACTAATTTCATGTCTTCTTGTGGCTGATTAAAATAATAAGTTTTTAATCATAAAAAAAATCATCAATCCTATCCCACAGGTTCTAAACCATTCCCTAAAGTGAATGGGACCTTTATCCAAAGGACAAGAAAGAATCAAGGGTATAGTTATTGAAAAAAAATAAAATTTTGAAGAGATAATCCTTCAAAAAGCAACCCACCATACTACCAAAAGTGAAGACATAATGAACCAAGCAAGAAAAGGGTAAGAATTTGAATAAACTTGAAGATAAGTGTTATATGTGTGGTATGCATGGTCATTGGTCTTACGTTTATCAAGTGCTGAAACATCTTATAGATTTATATCAAGCCTCTTTAAAACAAAATGTTATTGAAACTAATTTATTCATAAATATGATTTTAAAAGTTATAATGTTTATCTTGATGTTTTGATTTTTTAAAAAAAACCCAGATAAAACAAATAATATATTTAGTGGTAGAATCCTTAGGGATGATTAATTTTTTTTATTTTTATTAGGATATTCATGGTATTGTATTTTCAATAAATAATGTTAATTTTATTTCAGTTAAATTATAAAATTTAATTATATTTTGAATAGAGGCATGACTTTTTATGATAGAGATTTATGTTTAGCAGATAGTGTAACAACACATACAATTCTCAAGAAAAAGAAATACTTTGAATATTTGACATTAACCAAAGCTAATGTCACTAATATTAGGTCCAACAAACATTATTAAAGACTCTGGAAGAGTTAATATTTTGTTTTCAAATAATACAAAACTGGGCATCAAAGATGCATTATATTCACCTAAATCCAGAAGAAATTTATTAAGTTTTAAAGATACACGCGTTAATAGTTGTCATATTAAAACAATAGTTGAGGATAAAAAAAAATATATGTTTATATTATTTCACATATTTCAAGCCAAAAGCTTATACTTGAAAAATTACATGCTTTCTCTTCTGGAATTTATTACACAATTATAAAATCTATTGAAACAAATGTTATGATACAACTAAAGTGTTCCGACCCAAAATTATTTATATTTAGGTATGATTGACTTAGACATTTGGGATTAATAATTATATGACAAATTATTGAAAATTCATATGAATGTCATTTAAAAAACTTGAAGATTTTTTTACCAAGTGAAAATCCATGCACTGCATGTTCTCAAGGTAAATTAATTATTAAACCATCCCTATCAAAGATTGTTACAGAATCACTATCTTTTCTCAAAAGAATTTAAGGAGATATATATGGACATATTCATCCCCCATGCAGACCTTTTAGATATTTTAAGTATTAATTATTGTATCAAGTAAATAGTCACTTGTTTATTTACTTTCTAGTCAAAATATTACATTTGCTAGACTAATAGCAAAAATTATCAGATTAACATAATTTCTTGATTCTCCAATCAAGAGAATTTGATTGGATAATGTTGGTGAGTTTATGAATTTAATAATTTTTGTACTTCTATTGAAATTGATGTTGAACATCGTATTACTCATGTAAATACTCAAAATGGTCTAGCTAAATCATTTATAAAGTGCCTTCAATTAATTGCTAGACCATTACTTATGAAATAAAAATTACCTACTGATTAGTACTTAAAAGTGTATTTTTATCAAGATTTTATATTATCATTTTACACTTGAAGTATCAATAACTCCTTAACTAACGCATGTTTTATAGTAACATATCTAATAATATAAGATACCTTTAATTTATAGTAAATGTTCATTTTAAATGCAGGTCTATCACATAA